ACGGGTATTGGAGATGTTGATCTCAGTACCTCTTTGGGTACAACCTGGAGGCTGAAAGATGTGAGGTATATTCCAGACCTGAAGAAGATGTTGATCTCAGTTGGACAGCTTGATGAGGAAGGCCATAACGTTAGTTTTGGCAACAAGCAATGGAAGGTAACAAAGGGAAAGCTGGTCATTGCTCGTGGGCAGAAGCATGGTACACTGTACATGGTTGAAGTGTCCACAGATGGGGCAAACGCAGCAGTTGAAGATACAGGGGTCTCTACTTTGTGGCACCAAAGACTTGGGCACATAAGTGAGAACGGAATGAAGATGCTGTCTTCAAAGGGCAAAATCCCAGATTTGAAGAGTTCAAAGTTGAGCTTTTGTGAGCCATGTGTTCTAGGCAAACAAAAGAGGGTAACCTTTGTGAAGACAGGGCAGCAACCCAAGACTGAGCGGCTGGAGTTGATTCATTCAGATGTCTACGGACCTACAAAGGTCTCTTCGATTGGAGGTTCCCGTTACTATGTTACATTCATTGATGACTCTACACAGAAGGTATGGGTTTATTTTCTTAAAAATAAATCCGATGTCTTTAACACTTTTAAGAAGTTCAAAGCTGCAGTTGAGAATGAAACAAATCTCAAGATTAAGTGTTTAAAGAGTGATAATGGGGGTGAGTACAGTAGCACAGAGTTTGTAGAGTATTGTGCTGAACAGGGGATCAGAATGCTGAAGACGGTTCCAGAAACACCACAGCAAAATGGTGTTGCAGAGAGGATGAACAGAACACTGAATGAGAGGGCCAGGAGCATGAGATTGCATGCAGGACTTCCAAAGATGTTCTGGGCCGATGCGGTGAACACAGCAGCATACTTGATCAACAGAGGACCCTCATCTCCCATAGATTTCAAAATTCCAGAAGAGGAATGGAAAGGTCGAGAGGTATCCCTTACTCACTTGAAAGTTTTTGGTTGTATTTCTTATGTCAAAGTTAGAGATGCAGATAGTGACAAGCTTGAGGCAAAGGCAAAGAAGTGTATCTTTATTGGGTACGGGATGGATGACATGGGCTACAGGTTCTGGGACAACCACAACAAGAAGGTTATCAGAAGTAGAGATGTCACCTTCAACGAGAATGCCCTGTATAAAGATGGTCTTGCAGCAGAAACTAGCAAAGCCAAGCAACCAGAAAACAAGCAACAAGTGGTGTCTGACGGGATGACTGAAGATGACATAGCACAACCTGTTGGTTGTGATGAGACAGCAGGAGGCTCAGGGAGCAGTGGGAGCTCAGGAGATACAGGAATGTCTGAAGATAGTGGGAGTGATGAAGATGGTGAAAATTCAGAGGCAGCTACTCCTCAAGTCAGACAGTCCACTAGAATCAGAAGACCTCCTAACAGATATTCTCCTTCAGTAAATTATCTGTTGCTCACCGAGAATGGAGAGCCAGAATCTTACTCAGAGGCACTGACCATGAAAGATTCCATACAGTGGAAGAAGGCCATGGAGGATGAGTTAGATTCACTTGACAAGAACCAAACTTGGTCCTTAGTCAAGCTACCACCGGGAAAGAAAGCTTTGGAGAACAAGTGGGTGTTCAGAATCAAAGATGAAGCAGATGGAAGCAAAAGATACAAGGCGAGGTTAGTTGTCAAAGGGTTCCAACAGAAGAAGGGAGTTGATTACAATGAAATCTTCTCTCCGGTTGTGAAGATGACTACTATCAGGTTGATCCTTGGTATCGTTGCTGCTGAAAATTTGCACTTAGAGCAGCTGGATGTAAAGACTGCTTTTCTTCATGGCAACCTTGAAGAAGACATTTACATGGCTCAACCAGTAGGTTTCCCAGTGAGTGGTAAGGAGAAGTTGGTGTGCAAACTCAAGAAGAGTCTATACGGACTGAAGCAAGCTCCTAGACAGTGGAACTTGAAGTTTGACAGTTTTATGCAGCAGAATGGGTACACTAGATGCAAGATGGACCATTGCTGTTACTTGAAGAAATTCGAGTCTTCATACATTATTCTTCTTTTGTATGTTGATGACATGTTGGTGGCTGGAGCAAACATGCAGGAGATCAACAAGCTCAAGAAAAAGTTGTCTGAAGAATTTGAGATGAAGGATTTAGGGGAGGCGAGACAGATTCTTGGGATGAGCATAGTCAGAGACAAGGTGGAAGGTACTTTAAAGCTTTCACAGCAGAAGTACATTCAGAAGGTCCTTGAGAAGTTCAGAATGACGGATGCCAAGCCAAGGAGTACACCGTTAGGGAGTCAGTTGAAACTCTCCAAGCAGCAGTCTCCGAAGACCGATGAAGACAAAGATGAAATGGCTAAAGTTCCTTATGCATCAGCCGTTGGCAGCTTGATGTACGCGATGGTGTCAACAAGGCCGGACATTGCTCATGCAGTGGGAGTTGTTAGCAGGTTTATGTCAAATCCAGGGAAGGAACATTGGGAAGGAGTCAAGTGGTTGCTACGCTACTTGAAAGGCACCTCTAGAACTGCTCTTTGTTTCAGGAGGAATGGGGCAATTCTAGAAGGTTTTGCAGATGCTGATTTGGGGGGCTGTCATGATTCCGGGAAGAGCACTACGGGTTACATATTCACTATTGGAGGTACGGCAATCAGTTGGATGTCCAGATTACAGAAGAGTGTAGCTCTTTCAACCACAGAAGCAGAATATATGGCTATTGCTGAAGCGGCCAAGGAGATGATTTGGTTGAAGAACTTTCTTTCGGAGTTGGGCATGAAACAGGGGGATTGTGGTCTGTACTGTGACAACCAGAGTGCTATTCATCTCGCGAAGAATCCGGTGTTTCACAGCAGAACGAAACACATCAAGATGAGGTATCATTTCATTCGAGAATTGATTGAAGATGGTACTATAAATTTGAAGAAGATCCTTGGTACGAAGAATCCAGCAGACATGCTTACCAAGGCGGTGACAACGGAGAAGTTGAAGCTATGCATGGCTTCAACGGGCCTTCCAGATACTTGATGAGAAGGCGTGGACGAGAGAGAGAGAGAGAGAGAGAAATCAAGGGTTTTACAGAAGGTACATGTTTTTGGATGGCAGATAATTGTTGACCAAGCCTCCAAGTGGGAGATTGTTGAAGATGGAGTCTTGTTCAGAGTTTCAGAACTGATACCCGCCCGGGTCAGATGAAGGACCCGACCAGGTATGTTGAAGCAGAGACCTGGGGACTTTCTGGAATGTGAGACCCGACCGGGTCAGGTGAAGGACCCGACCGGGTCAGTTGATCTCCGAGCTTCTGTTTTGGAAACCCGACCTGGTTTCTACCGGGTTTGTGTTCTGTGAAGGAGACCCGACCGGGTCAAATAAGAGACCCGACCGGGTCAGACGACGGGTTTTTTAATTACAGGCTTAATTTTGGGCCTGCGACTCTAATCTCAGTTTAGGTTTTCTTAAACCTATTTAAACGACTCTTATGTACTTGTAAACCTCTTGGGACGCTGATAATAATACATACTCTCTCTCGTTCGCCGTGGACTAGCGTAATCACTCCGATTGCGTGAACCACGTTAATTCTTGTGTTCTTGCTCTTAATTTATCGTTTATCTTTGCCTAATCGTAACAATATCATATTACAATATCCTATTATTTAATGATAACTATGTTGATTATTCTATGTATTACTTTCTATTATCTTTCGGATACTTGATATATGTAGCTATCATGAAAAATCATTAATGAATGATTTATCTAAATATGCGTTTTTTAAACCTTAAAATAATAGAAAAATTGAAAATAATAATCTCAACTATTGTTGGCCCGCTAACAGTAATCTCAACTATTGATTATTTTTTTATAATCTCAACTATATGGACCGTCCGCCAATAATGGTCCATGACCGGATATTACCTGTTATAACAAGTGAATTTTAATAGAAATTAAGCGTAAAAATTAAAAGTTGAGATTATTTATAGGGATTACCTGTTATATCTCTTCTCATCCACTTTAGAAACTATAAGAATTTATTTATAGCCGGTCACGTCGGATCATTATTGACGGAAGGTCACTAAAGTTAGGATTATTCTGAAATAATCCATAGTTCGAATTATTATGAGCGGACCGTCAATAGTTGGGATTATTACTATCAATTTTTCCTAAAAGAATCCGTTTTTTAAAATTGATATTTTGACAACACCTATTGGCTCTTGATAGGAATCTAAACTTCTTTTAGAAAAATATGGTCATTCTTTCCTAACTTTGACCAATTGAATAGTAATCGGTAGCTAAAGCCTAAAGACATGATGGGGTCGAACGATTTTTTTATACAATTTTATAAATCATGAATTCAAAACGACAAGGGAAAAGTCTGAATTTAACGTGCGTATTTGCTTAGCTTGAGTGCAAGTAAAATCATGACATGTGTTTTTTGTTTTGACCGACTAACCGCATAAACTAGTGATGTTTATTTAAACAGACAAGACTTAAATAAATCCGATCAGATTTGACTTCAATAGTTATAAAATACACATAGATCGAGTTTTTGTCACTTTTGGTCCCTCGACTATTATGTCATTGACAGTTTTGGTATTTGATTTCTAATTTTCCCATTTTTAGTCATCGATTATTGTGCTAAAGACACTTTTAGTTTCCGACTTCAAGATTTCTCACATTTAGTCCCTTAAGTATTATCAAAATAACACTTTTAGTCCTCTCATTATGATTTTGACACAATAAGTGGAGGACTAAAAATGACACTATTATAATAATTGAAGGACCCAAAGTGTAACTTTCATGAAAATTGAAAGACTAAATGTGGAAATGTTCAAAGACGGGTACCAAAAATGTCTCTAGCGCAATAGTCGACTAGTCGAGGATTAAAAATGGAAGAATTCAAAATCGAGCAAAAACTCCACATAGATCAGACATTTATCAGACTAAACCATATCTAGAGGGCGCATATAGGGGAGGGCCGCTTGATCCTGGCCCAACCCAAATTTATAAAATATCTTTATTTTTAGTGTAGAAAATTTGGGCAAAAAAAATTTCAAAAATATTCTGGCCCTGAACATATCATTGTAGCTGTGTCAGAACGATTGCATATAAAATACAATCAGCATACTACGTATAAAGCTTTTGACTACCTGGTTAACCGAACACGAGTCTTAAATAATACTTTAACGGTCTTTGGATTGAGAGGTTAGTAAAGGGGATCTTTCTTTGTAAGAGCTAAGCTGTTATTTGTTATTTACTTGTTTAACTATATGCCTTGATCCTTTCCTATTACAAGCTCTGGCACATTCTAAGTTTTCGAGAAGGCTAATGCCTAAACATTGTAAAAATGTGTTTTTGCAAATGGAGAGGAAAAAATGAGATGGTTTTAGCTTTGTGTGTGCCTCTTCTCACTTGATGATATGTGTCATGAGAAGCTAGGAAATGGAGAAGAGCACTTCAAGCAAGGAAGATCAAGGAAGTAATGATCGGAACACAAAGATCAAGGAAGGCTCTTGGTTAAACCAGTTTCGGTATGGCTCCAATCCTTGGATGGCTAGATACGTCTACGGCTTTATGTTCATGATCGTAAACTTGTTGGCATGGGCTATTCGTGATTATGGCTCAATTCTTATGAAAGAAATGAAGAGTAAGTATGTCGGGCACCAGTTTTCATTTGATGATGATTTCTGGAAAATGGTATTTGATTTTCCCTCCCAAGAAGAGTTTTAATTAAAAACTTTGTTGAAGAGTTGGTCTTACATCAATAGATTTGATTTTCCTTTGAACTAACTTTTGTATAAGATTGATTTTATTCTACATTTGTGATTTCATATTTAGCCGATGTGGGAGAAACTCTCTAAGAAAATGGACACTTGATGCCATTTATGTGGTTGCAGGGGTAAAAGATTGCAATGGTGGCGTAGATTGTTTGGGTACTGAAGGAGTTTTGAGAATTAGCTTTGGATGTTTTGTATCCTTCAATCTCATGTATATTCAATTAACTTTTCTGTTCTGGATTTGATGTTTTCTTCACAAGTGTTTTAGGCAGATCAATTGTACCATCTGTGGTCCTCCAAAAACATAACAGACTTGACCAAGTTTTTTTTTTTTGGGGGGGAGGGGGGGTGTCAAAAGTGTTTTTTTTTTAAATAAGGTTCCATTTTTTAGTGACTTATAAATGGAAAGTTGGGAGTTCGTCCTTGACAATTTCTTCTTAGATGTTCTATTTTGTGATGTTTCTATCTACAGCAGGAACATCAAAGCTGAATGGTTGCAGAGAAAAGTGGCACTCTGAGCGATGGCTATCCAAGATGGGCATGATGCTTGCTTTAATTATACTTCCATTTCTTCTTCCTATAGAGATCATTTCAATCTACGGTTAGTGCAAAATATAAATGTCATGTTTCATCTCATGTTTTGGTTAGCCCCTACACTTGCATGTTAAGAAAATATTTATTTGACATCTCACATTTTTAGTTTTATGATACTATGTTTTTCTTTCATTTATTTTTTTAACAGCTGAGGTTGCACATTTTGGAGCCGGGTATGCATATTACATAACCACTCTAGTTAGGGTGAGATTAGCGTTGTAAATAACTTGTGAATGTGCTTAATTTGTAGGGTTTTTTTAATAATTCAGTTGGTTAGCGTAATCAGTTTCATCACATGGCTTAATGATTGTTGCCACTCCAAGAAACATGGCGATAGATGGTAAGAAAAAGTTCTGCAATGACTGGAGTCATGATAAATGACATCAAAGGCTACATGCAATTTTTCGGTCACTATGTTTCTATCTCTTTTTTTTCACACCGGTTTTAATGTTAATATCTTAGCACAGCCACATTCATGTGATGATATTTTCAACGGTTGCATACATCATTTGCTTACTCGGGATCATCTTAATGTACGTTTGGTACACACCAGAACCGTCTTGCCTTTTAAATATATTCTTCATATCATGGACTCTAGCTCTTCTCCAGGTTATGACCAGCGTCTCTCTCCACCCAAAAGTGCGTAAGTCCCGTTATTTGCGTTCATTTTCATGTGCTCTACTTCAACACTCTAAGAGCTGGGGTTCCATCGTATAAAGATATAACAAGTTTTGACATCATAGTAGTTAATTAATTAAGATCCTAAAAGGTGTTTCTCACAGAAGTAGGCACTTACTAGTCCTTGTTCTTATGTGTTTGTTTTTATTTGATATCTGCAATTTTTTCATCCATGGATTATGATATGGAACAGGTGAATGCTGGCTTCTTAACTCCTGGTTTCATGGGCCTATACATTGTGTTTCTCTGCTGGTCTGCCATTAGAAGGTAAGAAAAAGTTCAAATAGAGCAAATTGTATTTTTTTTTGTTATCGGTTTATTTGTTTATTATGGTGAGCACATATTTCTGCAGTGAACCGCCTGAAGAAAAATGCATCCAAAAGGCGCAAGGTGCTTCTTCTAAAGCAGATGTGCTTACTATCATAGTAATTCTTAACCATCTCTATACATCATCCTTTGCAGAAGACATATGTGAAAAGTAGTATGCACCATAACCTGCTGTTATTTGGTTCTTTTCTTTCTCATCACATGGATAATATTTTTGCAGAGCTTTATTGTTGCGGTCCTTGCAATTGTGGTTGCAACGTTTTCTACAGGAATTGATTCTAAATGCTTTCAGGTCTGCGTAATAATCTTTACTTTTTAAGTGTTTTACACGGTGTGATTTATCTGACCCAAAGCTTTGATTGATCTCTCGCAACAAAAGGTTCAGTTCTGGAAGGATTCGGAGGTAGAAGTAGAGGAGGAGGAGGAGGAGGAGGAGGATCACGTTCCATATGGTTTTGGATTCTTCCACTTTGTTTTTGCGACAGGCGCCATGTACTTTGCAATGCTATTGATCGGCTGGAATGCTCACCAAGTCATGAAAAAGTAGGTTTAGAGCTAGTTGTTGGTGTTATATATAGTGGCCTGGAGCTAAAGGGTTGATTTTGGTGCAGGTTCACAATTGACATTGGGTGGACAAGTACTTGGGTGAGGATAGTGAACGAGTGGTTAGCTGCTTGTGTGTATAGTAAGTATATGCTAACTAACTAGCTCATTCAAGTTACAAAAATTTTGCTGCAAATAAAATACTTATATCTGCCTGCCTTGTGCGCGGACAGTATGGATGTTGGTTGCCCCAGTTGTATGGAAAGCCAAGCAAGCAGGCGAAACCTAACCCCTGCCAAGATTCGTTTTCTTCACTTTCAAATTAAAGCCTTAGCTAGGAAATTCACCTCTCATTCTTTGTGCTGCAGCTCCGTCAAAGCTACAAATATCGATGACAGAAACATATGTTAGTGATACATACATACACCATTACATTGGGTTTGGAATGAGAAAAAGTGCATGGTTATGTAATTTTGAGTCGCAGGATTTTTTCATTACTTGTAAAAATGAATTCAATGCACAAAAGTACAATGTATTGAAGGTTACCTTTACCAACAATGATATATTTGTAGCCCAAATTCACATAAAATCTGCACTATGAGCCTATTTGGTATTGCACATTAAAACAATGCAAACATATCATGACTGTTCACATAATGGTAGCTACTCTTTAAAAGTAGTGGTACGGTGCTTCTGTGAAGGAACGTTGATGAACTTGGGAAGAGATTACCAAGGGAGTGATCTTTCAAACTCGCCAGTTGAGTTGACCTTTCTATGCTCCTCTCAAATGATGGGACCGGCCGGCCGTAGGGGTGAGCATGGTCGGTAAATCAGGCTTTGGTTAACCAATTTTCAATTAACCGCGATGTTGGTTAATATATATTAGTACCATCATTTGGTTAACCGGGTATCGGTTAACCAAAATTTCGGTTACCACTAATCGGTTAACCAAAAAAACATGAAAAAGAAAAGAATAAACTCATCAAACTACTCCATATTAAACATCTGATTTGTTAAAAAAATACATAAGCGGTCCAAGATTAAATTCGTATAGCAACAACTTTTCCAAATTTTTCAAGTTATATCCGCTCCTATAGTTTCCTTCGCTAGAGAGAGGAGCAGTTATGGGTAAACCCTAGCCGCCGTCTCCTTTTCTCTTCTTCTTGTTCTCTTCTTTCAATCTTTTATGATTCAATCATGAAAATATATCTTCTTAATCAGTGTTTTCAATTTTATCTATATGTTTCGTTTCTAGCGTTCTATAAGGATATTATTTTTGGTGGCGAAGTATCGTCTGCTAGATGTTTATTCCCTGCCATCTTCAGTCGGGTTTTCTTATGTGCTTATAAGAGGTTTGCATTGATCTCGTCATTAATCAGGAATATGATTTTCTTCTGTGCCAATATTGAGACAAATCGCTCTCCTCCAGAACCACCACCGTTCCAGGTAAATGGGATCACATTGAGTACTTTCTTTCCGATGGCTGGTCAAATCGGAACAAATTTTACGCTTGGCTCCTTATCGGTGGCTGGACAAATTGGGAAGTTCAATAATTTGTTTGAGAAATATTGTGATCGTAGGAGGAGCAATCAATCCACAGGTAGAATCTACTTCTTTGTGGGATTAACGATTCGGCGTTTTCATTTTGAATCGTCCGCTTCTATGTCTCATATCATTGTAGCATTGAGTTATATGACTGTAGTTGTCTTTGTAATCTTTATTAATAATAATTAATTAAGTTATTTCCTTGCAAAAAAATGCAACACCTTTTCCAAAAAAAGCTCTCAGGCTTCGAAACTCTAGTCAGTGCATATTACATTGTATTATCTTTCCATGTGCACTATTACATTTCCACTAGATTCATTACCTGTGCGTTGCACGGGATGCATATGTTATATGTTTAACCATTTCATTAGATGACAGTAGAAATCTAATGAATAGTTTAACTAACTCAGATTTACATATGTTAAAAATTTGGAATGAATTTTTCAGAGCACAAAGTTGGATAAAGTTGGGATCACTTCGTAATAATAAAAATACTTTTTATTAGATATATAAATATTTTGTTACGTATTTGTGTTTATAAAATATACATAACAAAGCATTCATGCAATTGAGGAACGCTAAAAATGTTATTGATAAATCTTTTGTAAACATCCAATAAGCAAAAACATTAATTGATAGTATAACTTTAAAAATCAAAATTTTACATTATAATTACTAATTGCTAACTATTAATTTACACATTATTGTTTAGAGAAAATGAGTATGAAATCATTAAATATGGAAACGCAAGCTACACCTTGTTATTTTATATTATTATAGAAGACTATTGTTATTAATAATATAACTATTACTGTAGTGCAAGACAATAACAATGATGTTTTTTATTAGACTAAAGTTTTATGATCGGGTCCGCTTAAGTTTGGTCTGATGACCTAAACTGATCTGGTCTGGTAAGTGTCGGATGTATGTATATTTTACTAACTTATTCTGATATGATCAAGTCTATTGTATTTAAATTTGATCTGATTTGGTGTAGTTTCTTTTAATCTGGTGTGGTCTAGCTTATAATTGAAAACATTTAAATCAAAATATTGTAAACGTTCTGATTTTTTCTTTGCGTTAAGTGAAGTCCCGCCAATTATGTATCACTATTATTATATTATTATAATAAAAATAATTATTATTATCTATCATCATCATCATTATAGATTACTTTAAATTGAAAATATTCCAATTACTCCAACATTCATGTAACTCTTATTTTTTAATGAATAATGAGTATGAAGCATTAAATGTCTAATTGGAGGGAAAAGCAAGATTATAGATTATAGATTATAGATTATTATAGATATTGTAAACGTTCTTATTTATTTCATTGCATTAAGTGAAGTCCTGCCAATTATGTATCACTTTTATAAAGTTATAATAAAAATAATTATTATTATCTATCATCATCATCATTATAGATTATTTTGAATTGAAAATTTTCCAATTACTCCAATATTCATGTAACTCTTTTTTTTAAATTGGTATGAAGCATTAAATGTCTAATTAGAGGGAAACGCAAGGTGTCACACCTTGTTACTTTATATTATTATAGATAGAAAGTATATTTAAGCACAAAATCATTATAATAAAAACTCAAATTAATTAGATACAGAGTATTATTTATTGTACCATGCATAGCACGGGTGAGAATCTAGTTTGATACAAAGAACCAAGAAAATGAAAAAAAAAAACCTATTTTGAAAACAATACACTCATTAAACCATTAACATGAAAATGAATAGAGGATAATAAATGAGAACCACAAATACTATTAAAATAATGATAAACATGGTATGCATATATGTAGCACAAAAAAATGAGTTGGCGAACATGAGTGTGTACTGCACAAGCCCCAATAATCAATCACACTTTTTGGTGCCTTAATTGCTTCAGCGCATAGCAGTTATGGAATTGATCTCAGTTATGGAATTGATCTCCCTTGGTATATTTGATCCCAATAGCCTAATCCATATCCATTCCCCAGGTAATATATTATGCAGCACACCCAAAGCAACAAGATGTGCATGTCAAAAAAGGGAAACTGCATTCGATTCACCCAAATGGGTTCCCAGCAGGAGAGATTGTATTCTGGGCAGGAGGTGCTGCTGCATGTAGCCCCGCACCAAGCTGCTGGTTTGAGTTCATGTCTGCAAAAGCAGCCCCAGGAAGGCCATAGCCTGCAGGATTATTTGGTCTGCAAATATTTCAAAAAGTTAACAAAATTGGCACATGTAGCAACATATGCATAAAACAGATCTAAGAATCAAAGCAAATCCTCTGTGAAAAAAAAGAGTTTTTACCTCTGTGACAGGCTACCCGCCAGCTGCTGGCTCATATATGAATCTAAGAATCAAGGCAAATCAGATCATGTGTAAAACATGGATAAATGAAGCAAGAGAAAAGGGAGGGGAAAAAAAAAAGTTACTACTTGGAGGGAGTGCTGACACGTAAGAGTGTGGCTGCTGAGGCGCGCTGCTGTGTACATGGGAAGTTGGTGGGGCTCCAAGGCTGGATGTGTGAAGCAGGCCTGATGAAGGGCCCATGCTTGGCAGTGCACCTTGTAATGAAGCCATCGATGGAAACTGCAACAATGAAGTAAAGAGTACCTAAGATTCTCATATGTACTAAACATATTGACATTAAAATAATCTTGGGTTAGCTGAGTGATAAAACCGCTTTCATTTTAGTGTGTGAGAGTGTTTTCATTTTCAGCATGATCCCGCTTGTGATAGGAAATTTATTCAGTCCAAACATTTTGAGCAAATGGTAGTGTAATAAGCAGTGACACTTGAGTAATATTTTGTTTGCTCACCGTAGAAGATCGTAAAGGAGATGGCTCACTGGTGGTGTCAAAAGGATTTGATGATTTTATCGGCTGCATAGAAGTATGTGTCTGCTGATAAACATATAAACTGTCTTTAATACTTTGCAGCAGCAGAGATTGGTAGATAACACTAAGAAGGGATCAGGCAACGTGATACGTGAAGTTGTGTTGTGCATAGATACCGTTTGCATATTATGATATTGCATGGAGAACCCATGTCCATGTGATGGAGCAGCATACAAGCCTTGTACTGGTGCATACATGGATGGATAGGTTACAGCAAACAAATCCTGCAGGAAAAATCATAAGATGACAATTTTTTAACAAAAACAAAAGAACTCATAGAGTAACTGTACTAACTGAATATACAAGAGAGGTCAAATAAGTCTGAATCAACACATAGAGCTTACTGCAGGAAGTTCTCTTCTCCCACCAGATCTAGAATCACATACATGGGCATTTCCAGAAGTGGAATTCAAAGCATGCTCAGCTAAAACTTGAGGACCTTGCGTCCTTGCTGTGTCCAGAATCCCTGATGGACCTATGTGATTCCATTGCTGCAAAAAAATAAAAAATAAAAATAAGCACAGGCATTTGAAGGCAGCAAGAGAGTCATGATTTAACATTTCAAGGTAAAATTAGAAAGCAAACCTGAATACCTGATTGTTCGTACGTCCTTCAATGACTGGGTTCCACTGATGAGGAAGAGGTTGGGTCCCAGTAACTGCTAGCAGAGATGAATGCTGAGGTTGCACGCTGGACCATTGCCCTCCAGCAGCATGTGTCGACGGGACAGAACTCCCCCCAACTTGCAATAAGGATGTCGTTCCAGGAGGAAATGCACTTGGACCAAAACTGTTCAAGTGGGAAACATCGGCTGGAATAGGTGAAGATCTACTCAAAGCTGGAAAGATGCCAACAGGAGCAGAGCTTGCACTATTTTCTCCCAGGGCGGGCGAGGGAGTCATCAATTCTGAAAGTACATCCAGCTGGTTGGCATTTGAAGGTGCTTTCACTGGCACTGACTCAAAATTTGCCCAATTATCAGCACCCGATGAAGTTGGTTGTGATACAGCAGTTGGTGCAGGTTCAGGAGCAGCTCCAAAATCAATAAGTGAAATTTCTACCTTAACTTCGGTTGGGTTGCCATTTGAAGATGCCAAGCTATTGGAGGAAGTGGCCCTCTGAAAAAGAATGTTTTAATTGATTCTGTATGTGTTGCATCTACTGGTGCAAATTATCTATAGCCTA